GTTTCCTGCAGCTTGATGAAGGGGTCAGACGGGGTCAGAGTCTCACCTGCTAGAGGAGAAATTGATGGATTTTATTCTATTCCTCTGATTCATTAATATTTTCAATCTGCAACTTTTAATTCCTCCAAAGTAGAATTATTTTAATGCTGCATAGAACTGGGAGCACTGGGAACACTGGGAACCAGAGCCCTAGATCTGTTGAAAGCATGATGTATGATGAAGGTTCTGTTGTCTTGGACATATTATTAAAAGCAACGGGACTGATTGTCTCATTCTTTGCGTTGATAGAACGGGTCCCTAAAGCAACTTTACGTTGACCAACAGTTGGTGGAACTGATCTGCTGCTTCATTCATGGTTTGAGTGACGCTCATTCGTTAGCAGATATTGCTTTCTCTATTAGCATGATTTATAAAAAAAGTTATACACGTTTCAATTTAAAAAGAAACCTTTATTAATACGTTGATGAAAACATTAACATTAGACGGTGGATGGAGGAAGCAGTGAAGCGAGCGCCTCAGGTGATCTGAAAATGGCTGCTGGAGGCAATGATGAATATAGGAGTATATTCTGCTGTACAATGAGGCCTATGATTCCGTTCTTTACTGGAGGATTGAACCTCTGCCGTTTCCCAGGATGCACTGCTGTCAGTGGTAACTAGGCGACTGCCAGAGAGGAACCAGAGAAACTTATGGGATCCAATCAGCTCTCTGATCAACCATCTGGAACGCTGGTTGATCAGAGCATCGCTTTGGACAGAAACGCTGCACAGGTTTCACCCCCCCCCCTTGTTGTGTCTGACCAATCGCAGTAGATCTAATCCTCGCATGTCTAAAATCTCGGATAATTTATCCGACTCGTGAGCATCTGGAAATAAATATCTATACCAGGGAGACTTGTTATGTCTGCATATTGCTTCAGGTTCATAGACCACATCAATTACGCTTTATGCTTCCAAAAACAAAACAGGCATTTATTTTCTCAGGAAATACGTTATTAACCTTTAACACATTATATTTTAGTACGTTTACTATTGTAGGGAGGGAAGAACGTCATTTAGGTCTTTTTAACAAAATAAAATCGAGGGAGACGCGGATGTAGATCTGGATGCACAAATGAGCTGATGGCATGTGCACGGGACGGATCATCGGGCTTCCGGGACGGATCGGGCTTCCGGGGGACGTATCGTTCTTCCGGGACGTATCGTGCTTCCGGGACGTATCGTTCTTCCGGGACGGATCGGGCTTCCGGGGGACGTATCGTTCTTCCGGGACGTATCNATCGTTCTTCCGGGACGTATCGTGCTTCCGGGACGTATCGTTCTTCCGGGACGGATCGGGCTTCCGGGGGACGTATCGTTCTTCCGGGACGTATCGTTCTTCCGGGACGTGTCGTGCTTCCGGGGGACATATCGTTCTTCCGGGACGTATCGTGCTTCCGGGGGACGTATCGTTCTTCCGGGACGTATCGTGCTTCCGGGGGACGGATCGTTCTTCCGGGGGACGTATCGTTCTTCCGGGGGACGTATCGTGCTTCCGGGGGACGTATCGTGCTTCCGGGGGACGTATCGTTCTTCAGGGGACGTATCGGGCTTCCGGGGGACGTATCGGGCTTCCGGGGGACGGATCGGGCTTCCGGGGGACGGATCGGGCTTCCGGGACGGATCGGATCGTGACAGACACCTTTCAGCCGAGCTGCTGGAGAAGAACAGCCCAACTTCTGGTCTAAAGGAGACGCCTGAGGAGGGAGTTTGTTGTGTTTGTGGCAGAATTACCCATCATGCAACAGTGCTTTTAGCAGTCTTAATGTCGGTTGCAGCAGAGTAATGTTTGAATGAGGTCCTGAATGAGTCGGACTTGTGGTTCTGATGTTCCAGTGATCCGTAGCGGGTCTCTGGCTGCAGATTCTGGATGTTTGTGTTGAACAGGAACAGTTTGATGTTCTGTTAACATCTAAAGCTTCCAGGCTGCAGAAGCAGCGGCGCTGACATCACAGCAGAGCTGCTTTCTGTCGTCTCCTTCTGTTTATTTCAGGTTCTGTGTTTTTGTTTCCGTCTGCGTGGCAGAACCCGCCGGCTGCAGACGTCTCTGGGGGACGGTTCTGCTGGATCCTGGTCTGCAGACTGAGGAGGAATCCTGGCAGGAGAGACGTCCTTCCTGGTTTTATCCCAGGACCTCCAACATTTGCTGATGAGCTTTTCAGATCTGTCCCCCCCCCCCCCGAAGTTCAGGTTGTTGTTCTGCTGTGAGCAGGGCTGCCAGTGAGGCGTTCAGGGGTTTCAGGGAAAGCTCTGTGTCACAGGGGGAGCTGAAGCCAGTCTGGTTCCTCAGACTTTTCCTGAATGTTGGATCTCGTGGCAGTAAAACCAGCAGCAGTAACCCCCCCCACCCAGATGTTGAACAGCTGCAGCTCTCACAGCTGACTGGAAGTTTTCTGCAGAGGATTTTCCGTTGCTAAGTGAAGACCTCTGGCTTCCTGTTGGGCTGGAAGGAGGCTGCAGGGTGTGTCTGCAGACCGACCGCTGCAGCTCAGCCCTCTCTATAAATAACTGAGGGCTGCCGCCACATCACAGGAAACCTCAGCGCTCAGCGTGGAGCAGAGCCGCGGCGTTAACCGTTTACTGCCATATGGAGCAGCGCTGAGGAAAAGCTGATGGAACGACTGGAAACAAGCCGGCTGTGTCTGAACCTTTAGCTCGTACGCTAGCAGCAGGTCCGTCTCAGACGGACAGACGGGAAAAAAGTTAAATCCAGACATGGTG